TAATCACTCAAATAACTAAACCAAATCCTACCACTAAACCAACTACAATTGAAGAATAGCAAATTTAGGACCTTCTCGAAGACACTCAAATCGAATCAAATCTAATCACTCATATAACTAAACCAAATCCTACCACTAAACCAGCTACAATTGAAGGACCAAATATTGTCACTAAAATTGTCTCAATTATCTCTTACTCCATTTCAACTTGACAAAATTAATCAGGAACTTCATGTTTGTGCTAGACAAAAATAGATCATTGAGCATGTAGAGGACACCATGCAGAACAGGAACCGTCAAGAACCGTAACCAAGTCATCCTACATCTAATATTCATAATGTTATGGATTCTTATCTCATGATCGAAAGTGCATTGATCATCCAATCGAAAGATTTGTAGCTTATGGAAAGTTGTTACCATCTTACAGAATTTTTGTGACAAATCTTGATAGTGTGCAGGTTCTCAATTCTATTCAAGAGGCTCTAAAAATTCCAGCATGGAAACAAGCTGTTGAAGAAGAAACTCATAGTCTAGAAAATAATAGCACATAGGGTTGTTAACGAGCCGAGCTTGAACAAGCTCGGGCTTAGCTCATGTTCGGCTCGTTCGAAATAGCTCGTGTTCGAAATCGGCTCATGTTCGAAATTGGTTCGTGAACGGTGTGTTCGTGTTCGGCTCGATTTAAATATTCGTGTTCGTGTTCGGCTCGAAATTGGCTCGTAAAAATTAATTTAAAAAAATATATGTAAAATGTGAGATTCAAATATGAACCAAATGTATACAAAAGAAGGTATTAACCACATTACCACACGAGGTGTTATGATTTATTTCGAGCTAAAATGAGCCGAACACGAGCGAACAAAGAGTTGTTTGTGTTCGGCACGTTTACAATTCAAGCTTTAAAAACTTTTTCGTGTTCGGCTCATTCGTTAAGTAAACGAGCCATTATAGAGTTGTCTCATAAAAATTATTGAAGACTGCAAATAGATACATTGTTGAACATAAAGAAGATGGAAGTTTAGAGAGGTTTAAATTCAGATAAGTAGCCAAAGGCTACACACAATCATGCTAGGTTGACTATCAAAAAACTTGTGTCAGTTGCTAAGCTCAACATTGCTCAGGTTCTACTCTCTCTTGCAGTAAACTAAGATTGGATTTATATCAACTGGATATCAAAAATGTCTTCTTGAATGGGGACATTGATTAAGAAATCTACATGACTATACCTCCGGGTTTGGAAAATAGATCGAACAACAACCTATACCTCCGGGTTTGGAAAATAGATCGAACAACATGTTGGTTTTCAAGTTGAAGAAGTCCTTATATGGCTTGAAACACTCTCCTCGTACTTAGTTTGACAAAGTTGCTAAGACAGTGATTACAAACGAATATCATCAGTGTCAAGTTGAACATACATTGTTTATTAAATCCAATAATATAAGCAAAATTGATATTCACGTTGTATAAGTAGATGATAATATTTTGATAGTTAATGAATGAGGAAATTATCAGATTAAAAAGAATACTTGCAACAAAATTTGAGATCAAGGACCACAAGAATCTCTGATATTTTCTGAGAATGGAGGTGGCTCGGTCCAAGAAAGGAATTGTCATATATTCCAAAAAAAGTAAATTTTATATATGTTAAGTAAAACTGGCATGCTCGAGTGAAAACCTGTTGACGCACTTATAGATTTCAACAACATGTTGAACAGAAGTGAGGAAAGTAATCCAGTTGATAAAGGAATATATCAAAGACTTGTGAGCAAACAACTTCTCTATCACACACAAGACCTAATATTGCATACACAGTCAGTGTATTAATTAAGTACATAAATAATCCAAACGAGGACATTTAAAAGCGAGGAATAGAATCCTAAGATAATTGAACATGACCCTTGGATATGATTTGTACTTCACAGATCTAAAAAATGCAAAATTGAGATATATATAGAAGCTAGCTAGGCAGAGAAGGTAATTAATAGAAACTTAACCACTGGATATTGTTCATAGGTTGGGCAATCTCGTCACATGGAGAAGTAAAAAGCAATTTGTTGTCTCTTGGAATAGTGCAGAATCTAAATATTGTGCTATTGCGGTAGGAATATGTAAGGGAATGTGGATTTAAAGGCTATTAAGGGAACTTAGGGTTGATATAAGATGTTCAGTGATGGCCAAACAGTTATTACAACAACAACAACAAAGCCTTAATCCTACTGCGTGGGGTCGGCTACATGAATCCTTCTTCTCCATTGTGTCCTATTTAGTGTCATATTTTCATTTAGTTCTAATAAATTAAGATTATTTTTTATACAATCAGCCCAAGTCTTCGTAAGTTTACCTCTATCTTTCTTAACACAAGTCGAATCTAAAACATCTACTCTCCTAATCGGATCATCAGATGGTCGACGCTTAATGTGACCAAACCATCTAAGACGACTTTCTCTAATTTTGTCCGTCACAAGAGCTACACCAACCCTATCACGGATATATTCATTTCGCATTTTGTCAGTAAGTGTAAAGCCACTCATCCACCTAATCATTCTCATCTCGGCAAGACTCAACTTAGTATTATGCTTCTCTTTTAACGGCCAATCATTTATTAGTATAACTAAAAATCCTTTGAATCATGACGGAATAAAATAGATTGAGATTAACCAACACTTGATATTAAAAAAGATAAATGGACATGTTAAGCTCAGCTATGTTCCTACACGACTTCAGACTGTTGATATTCTCACCAAAGCACTACCAAAGATCAATCATGATGAATCGAAGTCCAAGCTTGGTTTGCACAATATATACAAACTCAGCTTAATGGGGAGTATTGGAAAATGTCAATCTGCATTAGAAAAGAATTTATTCCTTTTTTATAGAATATATCTCACTAATATTATTTCCTTTGTTAGATGTTTCTTTTTTTTTCTTTTTATTATTTTGGAGGATTCTTATTTGGTTTCCTTTCATTATTATATACATGTAGAGCAAGGAGTAATGCATGGAGAGTACTAAAAATAAAATTCTTTTTAGAACTTCTACATATATTACTATGATCAACAAATAGTAAACCAAAACAGTAAAAAAAAAAGGCTTATCTATCTTGGCAAAATTTCAGTAAGAGATTGGTTTACAAATCAAAATGTATCCATTAGAGGGCTTATAAAATTAATGCCAAATTATTAGAAAGGAGAAGGTCGAACCTAACATAGAGGTTGTTTGGAAAAAATTATGTGCACAATAGGTCATAAAATGATAATTCATAAACCCCAACTCAAATAACTGGGATAAGGTTAATGATGATAACATATATGAGACCTCAATCATTTGACAATAAGGTAATGTGGCTTTCCTTGACAGTTTAAGCAAGAAAAAGCTTGACAGTTTAACCAAGAAAAGGCTTCAATGGTAACATTGGATATCAAGGCTCACAAGGACAATAAGGTAATGTGGCTTTCCTTGACAGTTTAAGGAAGAAAAAGCTTGGCAGTTTAACCAAGAAAAGGCTTCAATGATAACATTGGATATCAAGGCTCACAAGTATAAATCAACCTAGTAAAGCTCAAGGGCTACAATG